TTTTGACGATATCTGTGTAATTCGCGTTGCAGTTGCGACTTTCCGGCTGTAACACTGAGTCCATGCCAGATTAAGTGCTCTTAGTAGGAACCAGTTATTCAAGAAAGAGTGTTACCAGCTATTTCCTTTTTTGTCAAAAATGGTTAGGCAACGTTGAGAAAAACTTCTCAAAGAAGTTCATCGATTTTTTTCACGAATCACCGCTGAAAGTTAGAAAATATCAGTTTGACTTTTTATTCAGTTATTCGTCTTCATGCAGCTAGACTGCTTAAACACCAAGAAACGTCAGTACCGATGTCCATAGTAACAGCTCCATTTCAAGTGCGCGAATCTGAGAGGCGCTCACTGAGCGTGATTGCACAATTGGCTTCCGAAATCCGATTCTGGGAAGAGCTGTTACCGGAAAGCTCCATTTTCATCCACAAGCAGATATAATTTAAAAACTTGGGCATAACGTGCTCAAGCTTGCGCTGCAGCAGAGAATGGCCACTCTTAGAACTAAACTGACGAAAAAAGACTCGTTCAGATATTCTGGATCGTGTGACTGAGATGCTATAACCATACGGTCTTAATTTCGCCTGGAAGTGAAATTCCCTGCAAGTGAGCACGAGAAAAAATCAACTTTACCATATCTTGATTTTAATTTTTAGGGCAATATCGTATCACTCTACTACTGCTATAAATTTTTCTTTTCAACGACATTTGCCGTAAATAAATCCCAGGAACAAATGGCATGGCATAACTTTGTTCGGTGTGTCGAAGCATTCCAGCAACATCACTAGCATGGGACACTTAACCACTGATAGCTAAGGCGATTTTGATATTCTTCAATGGTTGTTCGGTAGGAATAGCGGGCCGTTTCGTGCCAGTTGGAATGCTTGGTTGATTGCGAGCTGGAATCAAGGAGATGGCGATTGGGAGGTGCCCTCGTTCGGTATGCTCATTCATCTGGCGATGATTAATTGGCATGTTTCTGGCTTGATTGTGGTGCGACGTGGCGAGGATGCAAATAGAATACGGCCGTATCGGCGCATCATCACTTTGCTGCCGACAATGTGTTGCTGCTCATCATGATAACCGATCACCGCAGGCAATGCTCGTTCCTTTTACTGAGCGGCAGAAAATTACGTCAATACATGATAATTTCAGCAGCTGTTACCATTTCTTGGACTTAGAGCAGTTAAATTTTTTGTGTTGTTGAGTGATATTATTGCTTTACCGACAGATTTTATAGGAGCTCTCTCTCTCCTTTTTTTGTCTCCTATTTGTCGATTACGAAAAAGCATTTGACAACATAAAGCCGAATGCTGCGTTAAAACACATTTTAAAACGTTTTCAAACAAAATATAAAAAATTTCACTATATTTAGAAATTAGAATAGAGACTGTGAAATTAAATTTAAAAAAAAAAAGAAAAAAAAAAGATATAATTAAATATAGCGCGACACAACAAAAGATTTGATTAAATTGATCAATATTTTTTCTTCATCACAAACCTTTTTGAATACATAA